GAGTGAAGGTGCTATGGACCATTAAGGGCCAAATGAACAAAGATGAATGGGATGTTAGGAGAGGAAAATGCCAGAGAGCTTTTATTTTTATAACAGCAAAAGTAGAAGCTTTTGAGCATAATTCTTAGGCTATTGGATCAACCTAAGGTCCTAAGGCTGGCCAATTCAAATTAAGCCTGCAATAGATTTCTCTAAAGAGCAACAGTTTGATTTAGGTCTCTGGACTGGGGCCAGAGTGAGATGTTGTTCTAAGATCTCAAGTGAGAAATCAGTGCCCCATAAAAGGGTCTGACATGCAGTTTCTTGATTCCAGGAGTCCTGTTCCAAATGGCAGAGCCCCTTCTCAGCTTAGGTAGTCATTTTATTATAGTATTGCTCATTCATACAGTTTCTAAAGCGATAAGAAGCAACAGGTGAGTGGTGCTCATTTTTTCTGAATTCTATGTCTTATAACATTAGATTTGAGAGCTTAACATTTAACCAGCCTGTTGCACTAGAAGCTTCCTTAGCTGGATAACAATGGGCTGAAAGTTTACTAAAGTTTATTAAAAGTTTTTTACTAGGTTTATGAAACATCTTAAACATCCAGCTGGAATCAATTAAAACAGAAACCCTCTATCTCAACACAGGTAGTTTCTAACTCATAGCCCCCTTAACACTTACAGAGAAGGAAGGAGTTGCCTGCCCTGGCTCCCTTCTCCCTATGGTGGAAGAGGGTCTCCCTAACATGTCCACGGGAATCTGGTGGGAAAAATTCCATAGGAACTATGTGGGCTCAGACAATGGGGAAGGGAAGGAGCCGTGAAACCTGGGAAGAGCCAGGGGGAGCCCACCCAGGGGCAGAATCCCAGGCAAGCCTGGCCTGCCTATGTGCTGACCAACTGACTGACCACAGAGCCCAAAATAGTCTCCCCTGTACTTCTTTCAGTCTCCGTACTATGTTATGGTGCTTGAAATTCCACCATTTAGAGCAACCTCTTGTCTTGGCAGAAGCAGGAGTGAAAGGCTGTGGCAGGAGAAAAGGTATTCCTTGGGTGCGTTGGGGAGGGGCTGTTGGAAGTAGGAGGGTGCCAAGTAACAGCTATAATACCTATTTATGGGGCATGGGCTTTACAGGCATTATCTCATTTAACTCTCCCAGCAACCCCATGAGGTAGGTTTAATACTATCCTTATTTTACAGAGGAGGAAACTGAGGTTTAAGAGATGTTAAGCAACAGCTGGTTAAGTGGCAAGGCTGGGATCCAAACCATAGTCTGATCTGAATGTGTGAACTCGAACTCTTGCTTGCCGAAACTCCTGATTTCTTGCTCTATGCCCTCCTTCTGCAGATTATGGGACCTGGCACCTTGGGAAGACACTCTAGTCAATAAGACTGTGATTCGTACTTCAGTTATATCATGGTTCACATAGATTTTTGTGGGCTAGGCTGGGAACTTGATAGCTTGATTTATAATATTGTTCTATAGGAAATATTGTGACTTGCTGCCAAACTGGTGGAATATAATCCCATTGTATTACAATAAATTGTACATTACCTTAATTACAATTTAACAACGCTCAATGTTTTTTCCAGTTGGCTTCTGGTCACACAAAAAGCCCACCTTCCAAGACCAAGGTTCTTCATGTGTAGTTTTAGTTTTCAATGCTACGGAATGACCACACATTGTATATTTCCTAGATAGTATGTTTCCTGAGCGCACGGGCTTTTGTCTATTATGTGCACCAAGGATTCTCTAGCACCTAGGACAGTGCCTGGCACATATAGGCACACATTAACTATTTGTTGAATGAATAGACGTTTTTAGATCACAAATGTTTAAAACCACATGTACCTTATGCTTTTACTTGTGAAACACATTTAGAGCTGTCACACACAGCTGAGATCTGACATATGACTACGATCGACTAAACTTGGATAAGTTTAGACAACCTCGTGCAACACAGTTTTAGTCATTAGCTGAGACCTTCCTCTCACAAAAAGTGTCTTTCCCTAGGTAGCAAAACTGAACGCTCTGCGTTTCAGTGGTTTGGGGAACTCTGGTCCTAGGTTCAGCAGACTTGCTTCCTGAAGCTGCTTTACCTCTTGTGGGCTGAGGACCATAAGAGGATTCCTTTCTATGACATCTGCAAGTTTCACCTTCTAGATTCCTCATGTCTGCTCTAATCGCCCTTTGGAGATGACGCTGGCACAAAGCAAAAGAGAACAAAGATAGCTAAAGGGAAAAGCCTTGAACACCCTAATAAGAAAATCACAAGCCCTTGAGTTCAGACAAGTTCAAAGTTGCTAAAGGAGGCAGCCACAGCCCATTTACTTTACAGCCAACCTCTAGGCAAGCAAGTGAGCCAGTGATGAATTCTGTTTGGTAGGTTCACCCTCTTCATCATGCTCAGAATAGAATTCTGGCTGTTTCATTTACATTGGAACCAGGAGAACACATGCAACCTCAAGGGAGCGTGTGTGGATGGGGTGCAGTCCAGCCCCCTTTGAACAGCAGAGAATGACTGTTAAAGTGGCACGAAAAAGTCTTTGCTCAATCACTAGGTTACAAATATTTGAAAAGAAGAGAGACCAGTATTTACGGTACTTTCTATTTTCAAATGAAGCAAGTGACTTAATGTTTTTCTACGTAAGTCTTAACCAGTTGCACGGCGTACAGTGCAGGATATAAATGTCAGCACTGCGACAGGGGTGTGTTGACACTGGTTGAGTGCTCAAAGTCTGCACACTGTCATTATTCTGCCTTCCCTGCACTGACAGCTTGCTACCGAATTGAACGTACCTGGAAAGAAGTCAATTTGGCTTAGAATGCAGCTCGGTTTCTCTTTGGGAACACTTCTCTTTCAGGTTTCCTCTAGGATCTATTGGGTCTTCCCACAGATAAAATAGAATTGGGTGTGTTCTGCTGGTTCAGTTGTAAATAGAGAAGCCAGAATCTTGTCCAGTGATGACTTCACATCAGTTTCAGAAAGGGGAAGTAATCTCCCTTCCCCCACAACATGTCCCCTCCCTCACAGTCAGTAAGATTAATGCTACTTTGCTTGCTTTGTGACTTGCCGAACCTTATATGAGGCACAGATTTTCTTAGGGTATTATCAAGTCATAGTGATTCGACCCTGACTGCACATTAGATTTACCAGGGGACCATCTAAATATGCAGATGCCCAGGCCACACCCCAAATCAATTAAATCAGAGTCTCTTAGAGTGAGGCCCAGTATCAGTATTCATTAAAGTCCCCCAGGTGATTCCAGTGAGCAGAGGTCTCTTCTTACAAGTTTCTTCCCAAAGGACGGTTAGGGCAGTAGCATGAAGGCCAGGGGGCAAATCTCATAGCCATTGGCATTTTGGAGTGAAAAAGCCTCCCTTTACTGTACGGTTGTAAACTGTTCATGGAGTTCTAAAGTAAGCAACTTGTCCAAAGTCACAGTTGAAAGCAGAGCCAGAACCAAGGGCCTACATTAAGTAAGCATAGGTAGACAGAATCCTAATATGCTAATTAAATCTCTATGAATTAATCAGGCATAGTCATTTTTCTCTCCTGAACGTCCTGGTTAGAGAATTATTGTCTACTGCTGTGTTCTGTTCCTCTGGCCTAGGCTGTGTGAATGAATGAAAAACCACTTAGCTCTCATGGGTACTGTCCTGAAGACTACGGTGCAGAGCAGCATTTTAAATTTAAGTTTCTCTTGGAAAAACATTTATATACACTAAGATGGAAATTCATGGTTGAAACCAAAGCCTTTAAAAATAGGTTTATACAACTAATTGACAGCAACTTGGAACAGTTACTTTAATTTCAAAGGATCAACCATGTTCTCTTTCTAACCCTAAGTCACTCCTGAAGTCTTAATTTGCCTTTAGGAAAAAAATGAACTTTTTCTCTTTCAGGACTTCTGGAAGAAGATGCTTTTATTGTTGTAATTAAGCATAAAATAAGCCCATCACATTTCCTGGGCTGTTTTTAACCCAAGGAGACAGGGTTTGGGGTACTCTGAGTATACAGCTGATTTGTGGGGCCGCTTCTCCTATGCATATGACCACAGTATGTTTCAAGTGCAAAATAGCTAGAGGGGTAATGGGAGAGGGGAGTAGCCAGGGTGACATCCTGGATACAGCTCACATTGCTTTATTTTGGGATTGTGTCAAATTTTCTACTGCTATCTTTGTTGTCCACATACCTCCTCCATAACCTCTAACTTGTAATATAGCACACCTGGCTTTATGCAACAGATAAACTTCTGAAGATGGAGGGTAAATTATATCAAATCACAGTTGACATGGCCTAATAAACTTGATATCTAAACATGTTAATTTTTGAGAGATAAATCACATATTTATTTTCTACTATGAATAACCTGGTCTTTTCTTAAGAGTTAACATGGTCATGCATGGAGTGAACTACAGACCTCTTCCCCAGTCCCAGCGAGCACTATTTACCGTTAAGTCTTTCTAGAACCGGAACTTTTCTGAACAGATTTGACACTGCCCAGACGCTTGTTTTGGAAATAGAGGCCCTTCTGTGTTTTCTCTGACTCTGGCTTCGTTTTGTGAAACCTTGGCCTTTCCCTTGCAAGGGCAGTTTAGCATGAAAATACAATTGTTTCCAGGATTCAGCACCGCCAGACACACCCAAACAGATACAGGGCTTTGGAAGAAAGAAAAATGTGATGCATATATATGTGTATAGGTGATGGGGAAGCGGAGAAAAAGGGACAACTGTGTGTTTTCCTGTGGTGGTGGTAGTGGTGGGGAAAAGACCCGTTCACCGGAATGCTAAACAGACAGCATAAAAATCTGATACTCTCTCTGCTGGGCTTTGGGCAGCAGCCGGCAGCTAGGGCACTGGCACCGGGAGGGGGCTTCAGCGCCAGCGCAGCTCTGCCCCCGGGTCGGCGAGACCAGAGTGCCATCCGGGCTGCCTTGGAGTGCGTGCGGGCAGCGGGTGGGGGTGCGTAGGGGTCCGTCGGCGGCCCCCCCGCGGGGAGGGAACGGTTCTTACAGTCACTGCTCAGCGCGAAGGGCGCGCGGCGGCGGCCGAGGGAGCGGTCTTCGGCGGGCGCCTCGGGAGGCCTCTTACCGGCGGGCAGCGGGAAGGCGGACGCGGTGTGGAGCAGCACCAGGCAGACAGCCACGACATCCCATAACTTCATCTTAGAGTCCCGTCCGGCGGCGGCACCTGCGCGGGCGGGCGGGCGGGGGAGAGAACCGCAGAATGCACTTTACGCCTGGACGCCGAGGGCCGCCGCGCTGCCCTTGGGCGCAGCATCCCCGCGGGTCCCTGTGCCCCTCTCCAAAGTCGTCACCGCCCTCCTCCGGGACGGCTGAAGCCCAGAGGTTCCCTGGGCATCCCCCGCCCTCTTTCCAAGTCCCCTGCTCGCTCCCCCTCCCGGGTGCGCCCCGGGCGCGGCTTGCTATCCGCGTCCAACCTACAAGGAAGCCCTTCCCTTCCGCCACCTGATCCCAGGGGTCAGATTTTCCAGCAGGGCTGCTGCCCCCGCCAGTACCAATACAACGACACCAGGACACCTGGCCAACACGATGACACCAGTACTGGCGCGCAACGCTCCCTCATCTCTTGGGGGGGCGACGGGGCAGCCCTCACCCTGAGTCTCCCGCCCCAGCCAGAGGCTTTCCTACTCCGCCAGGCAGCTCCCGTAGATCCCGGGAACCAGCCCTCGACGAAAGCAAGCAACCAGCCTTTCATTTTAGGAATAAAATCAAGTGCACCCTCAGCCCGGGGTCCCGATCCTGCTCTCAGCTAGGCGGGGACGGCTCAGTGGCACCACTCACCCCACCTGCGCTTCATTCCTCCCACTTAAATAAGTATATTGTCGCCGGAACAAGAAGTTAGTAGGGACTTGGAGATTTAGGGCCTGTAAAGGAATATCTGCGTTGTTACTAAACTTCCCACGTCAACTCGGTTTAAAATACTACTTCCACCTCTTAAGGTCATGAACGTGAAATAATGTATGAAAAGGCCTAGAGGAGCATAAAGTAAGCGCTCAACAAATACTTTAGTATTGCTGTCAGGTAGGGATTGCAACTGTCTTGAAAATTTTCATCCTTCGTGGTATGCCGGAACACACTCTTTTTATTTTATTTTATTTTTGCAGTTTTGGCAGATTCTTGCCCTAAATCCCTTCCCCTCCCAGAGAAGTCTCGAGCTCCCCGCGGCGGAGTCACGGTCATTCCTGGACGCCTGTACTCAGTCCTGGATGCTGCGGAGGCGCAGGGCCACCAGAAGGCCTAGACCACGAAAGGGCGCGGAGTGGGGGCTCAGCTCTTCCCAGCGAGGGGGCTCCGTTTGGCTTCTCAGTCCTCACACCTCTAGAAAGGAGGGCCACGCAGACAGAGGCGGGCGAGAAAAAGCTACCGTCAACTCAGGGCCAAGTCCCACCCAATTAGGAGGTGGGGAGGGGACCCGGGCACCTCCGGGACTGCGGGGTTACCCAGTGCCTTCCCAATGCCAGTGTTGCAGTTTACAGGAGAATTCATGCAGTTGATTATCCCCTCTTCTCCAAATATAACGGATTCTTAGGTTAATCTCCTTGATCTTTTTCCACGGGAGGGAGTCAGACGGTTTACAGATAAATGCAAAAACCTCGGCACCTTTCCTCTCCGTTAGTTCCCAGGTTTGCCTGCCTCCCTTCCACCAGCCGCCCCCTCCCGCCCCCGTCTCCACCCAGAACTCCCGCCCGGGTTCCCGTGCAGACCACCCGGGGAAGAGTTTAACTCGGCCGCCACCTCCCGCCGCTGCGGAGACGAATGCATTTTCCATCCCTTGGGCATCTGTTTGTTCGCTAGGCAGCTGTTGGGCTCGGGGAGTCTGTAGGGACTAGGAACTCGAGCAACCTGCAGCTCCGGGCGCCTCATGCTGCGCTGGCTGGTTTACAAACCCGAGAAAAAGCAAAGGCTCTGGGCATGGACGCACCGGCTCAGGAAACACTGCACCCAAAGCGCGCATAAACAGCGCAGCGAGGCGCTTTGGGAGAGAGGTCTGGGGGAGCGCGAGGCCTCCCGCCCCTCGCCCCAGCGTCAGCTCTCCTGTGTGTGCGAAATGGCTGGCGGCGCCGAGAAGCAGGGAGGCGCGGGGTTAAGGCGCCACTCCAAATCGCGGTGCCCGCCAGCAGTAAGCGACAGAGGCACTAGATTTCCCTTCCACATTAAGAGGGTTTTTCTTTTTTTTGTTTTCTGCTTGGCCGACGGAGGGCTTTTTAAATTGGACGTGGAGATCCTCAATTAGAAGTGTGGCGAAGCTGGCAAAAGAGGAAACAGTGGAAAACTCCCCGCTTCGTCAGAGGAGGCTCCCAGCTCCTGTTCCCGCCCTCGGCCGGGTGCGGCTCAGGCCCCGAAAGAGCCCTCCCACCTCCCCCGGGAGAGGGGCGGGGGGGCGCATTCTTCCCTCTGAGCACCGCCGGGGCCGGATCCAGCCGGAGCGTCTCTAGTTCCCGGTATTTGCCGGGTGCAAGAAGAGGAGGGAGTCTGGGGGCTGAGCATACACAGTGGTCTACCAGGACGTTTCCCCCCAAGCCCATGTGGGCGCCCCACCCCACCTCACACACACCCGGTGGCTTCCCTGTTGTCTCTTTATCGCTCTCTCAAAGCACAGCTGCCCGATGTGTTTCTGTTGCAACCATCCGCTTTTGCTACTCGCGCAAATTGCTGAACGCACTGCCACGTGCGGTAATCAAGCCCTTTTTCCCAAGTCAGCTCCGCCAGGCTCCCCCGCAACGGTTCCTGAACCCCACAAACTGGTCCCCCTCTGCGTCCGGGACCAACAGCCCAGGCATGGCAAAAGGGGCGCGTCGCGAGCGCCAGCACCTGGTGGTCCCCAAGCCCGGGGCGGAAAGGACGCCGAAATGCCGGTACACGCAGCCGCTTGCAGCCGGGCGCTTCTGGGTTCCCAGCACCAGGGGGCACCAGAAACCGCCGGAGTCCTCTAGCGCCCACGCGGCCCGGAGGCTGCGTTGTCATTTTAAGAACTGTAAAACCGGTGAGCAAGCATTCCCCTACAATCCTCCCCAAATCCAAATTACCCCCGGAACTTCTGGATGTCCTCACCAGCATCCCCGCTTTTCAGGCTCCTACCCCTCCATTCTCCCTTCCTAGTTTTTCTCCACCCACCTCACCTGAGCTGGTAACTCGGTAACCTGCTTTTAGAACTTCCCCCTCCCCCGATTTCCCGCGTCACCATGACAGCTTCACCGCGGGTGAGCGCTCCCGCCGCCAGTGCCCCCGCACCTTCTTGTGTCTGGCAGGATGGGAGGTTTGTTTGGGCTTTGCCGTAAAGATCCAGATTTCAGGGAGAGAAAAGAGAGGTGGGGCGGGGGGCATGCTGCAACTCGGGGTTTTCTTTTGGGTTAAGGACAGAAGTTGCTGAAAGACATATTTATTTTAGCCGTTCCGGGTCCTAACTGACAGAGGACTTATTCTCCCCCTAATTGTTGGGCCCAAGACCGGGGGAGGGAAGGAGATTGACTGACGCTTTCTGCAGACGGTCTGGGGAGGGGTCTGGCTGTTAAAGGGCCCAAGGCCGGGTTCCAAGTCCTGGGGCACCGGAACTCCTTGCGATAGTGGGCTGGGGACGCCGAGGGCTCCCCGGACACCTGACACTTGTTGAAAAGGCGGCACTGTCCCTCTACCCCGCCAAAGCGAAGGCGTGGCGAAACAGTGAGGGCGAGACCTTGTCCAGGCCGGGTGGAAGGCCAGCGGCTCCCACTTTGAGGGCTTTGCGGGAAGAGGTGCGCGCGTGAGGTTGGAAGAAGCATCTCTTCCGTGGAATATTTAAGTGTATATTCAAAATACTGAGGAAGATTAGAGTGCCCTCTAACATACCCGCCGCAGGGGCGGCAAAAGTTTTGTTTGTTCCCGCCAATGAGCAAAAATGTTGGGAGCACAGGGTTGGGCAGCCCCTCCACCTCCCTGGGGCGCGCAAGTAGGCTCTGCCCGCGGGTTCGCCACAGTCGAACCTAGAGAGGCGCCAGGAGGATGGGGGGTTCCGGCGAAAGTCCGTTCCCCGCCCCGGTAAGTGTTGGTTTTCAACGGGTGGGGCTGGAAACCAAACCACGGCGAAATCAGCCCTGAGGTGGTGCAAGGTAGTGGTGGTGGGGTATTATTGGGGAGGTGACACAGAGTGGGAGAAAAGAGGTCACTGAAATAATCACTTCGATGGCCTAGCGAAGACCTGGGCCATCCAAGGTCTTCTTCTTGAGGAGTTTCAAGAGTCTGTTCGAGGCGGAGACCCGAGTCCCCCTCTCCTAACCTCGACCGGGATGGTTAATCGGGGTTGTGGGCATTAGGAAGGTGCAAGCAACTGGGTTCCAAAAAGGGCGAGGAATGTAGCTTTGCAAGACCGCGCCCTGACGAGGTGAGCCCTCTATTTTTAGGTTCTCAGCACCTTTGCAGCAGTCCCTCCTGGGGCCTGCGTTTTCCCTCAGAACAGATCAAAACAAGCTTAATAGTAAGTTACACTCCTGGCACGGCAATGATACCTCTGCAGCTGCACGTCCAGAGAGGACACTCTCTGGTCGCGATGGTTCAAAGATGACCTAGCCCGGCACCGTCCCGGGAGTTGACAGAAGAGCGCCCCGCTGAGTCGGGGAGGGAAATGCCCTTCTTGGACATTCCAGGGTCCAGAGGCATCAGGGGCACCAGAGATCTTTGCCCACGTGCAAAGACAACCTGCCCCTCCGCAAGGCCAGACTCTCTCCCGTTCAACTTCTCTATCTCGTCTGTCCTCCCAGCGCCTCGGGTCCCTCTAGTCTTTCCTCTTTCCAATCTCATCGCCTGCTTTGGGGTCCAGCCGCGCCCCCTCTGTCTCCAGCGCCCCACAGCCCGCCGCGCCAGCCGGCGCCACCCGCTCCCTCCATCCCGGCCCGCTCCCCCACTTACCTCGGATCCGGTCTCCGCAGACCCCCAGTTGGACATTAACTCCAGGAGCCCCGAGTCCCAGCCAGGAGACCCATCCAGGCCGAGGGCAGCAGCGCGGAGCCCCGCCCAACAGGTCAGGGGCAAGAGTTCGCAATCCTGGGGCTGCTCGGGGCAGCGAGGGCGCGCAGGAGGCGGCGGCCAAGGCTCCCGCCGCCGCCGCCGCGGCGAGAAGGGCGAGGGATGCCGACAGCTCCCCTGCCGGCCCCCAGCACCCCCAGAAGCCGAGGTCCGAGCAGCCGCCGCTGCCTTGGGTGGGGGGTGACACGGCTGCGCGCGCCGCGCTCTTGGCTGGGGCTGCGCGGGCCCGGGGCGCGGCGGGCGGCTCAGCGGCGGCGGCCGCGCTCTGCGCCTTCTCGGGGCGCAGCGCCTGGGAGCACAAGACGGGCCGGGCTGATGCTGCCACCGGAGCTGAGGTCTTGCCTGGAAATCCGAACGAGACACCACGTCAACCGGCGCGGGGAGTCCCGTGAAGACATGAGGGCGCCAGGAGCGCAGGCTGGTCCTTGAGAGCCCGGGCCGGGGGGCCGGGGTGGGGGAGGGGAGGCGCGGGGCCCCGGGAGGGGAGGGGTCGGGAGGCGGCGGTGGAGGAGGGAAACGAGAGCAGCGAGGAGGCGCCCGAGCTCCCGAGGCGGGGGCTCGGGTACGAGTGGGTGACGCGAGGCGCCCCTCCCCGGGGTGCAGGGAGAGCGCTCAGTGCGTGGAGACGCTGCAGGGCTCGCGCCTCCTCCTCGCTGGGTAGATCCGGAGGAATGTGCGGAACTCGTCGCGGACCAACCGAGGAGGGCAATCCGAACTTGACCGCGGCGCCCGGGCTTGGCCTCCGTGCCCCGCGCTCTGAGGGCGGGCGCTCTGTCGGGTGGAGGGCTACACTGGGCTTTCCTCGTGCCTGTCGAAGGCTCTCTTTCCTCCTCGGGTGTCTAGCTCTCTCGCTTTTCTGCAGGGTAGAAGGCAGTGGAGGAGAGGACCTGCTTGCCGGAGTTCTCCTAGCACTACGAAGGAGAGATGTGGAGCGGCCCAGGGAGGGAAACCGAGTGTTTGCCAGGGGACGCTGAGAGGGGGGATGAATTTATAGGTCTCTCACTCCGTGACGTGCCCTCCAGTGGCTTTTCTGATTCGCTTTCTGACCTAAACACACATTAGTTTAGTCCCCATGCTAGGGCCAGCACGGTCTCCGAATATCTGCTGGCTGAAGTCAGAGGCTTTGCATATCATGTATTACATGGCAGGCAATGAAGAAGGCTTCTGAGGCTGGCCGGCTCCTCAGTCCTAGGCTCCATTTTCATGCTGTTGTAATATAACACCAGACATGGGGTAGGCACATACATTCAAAATCCCGATTCCAGAACAGTAAGATCACTTTATCAGGAACAGGTCACGGGGGATTGGCCTTAAACCCGCTTTTATCCAGATTTTGCAAAATGCAGATGGGAAACCTAACCAAGCCTTCCCTTGGGTGCTGAGTTTCCAGGGAGCAGGGACCCAGGTCCTATTCCTGAGCTCTGTGAGACCTTTTAGGCATTCCTCTTGTTGGTTAGCTTACCACCAGAAACAGCCAGAGCCTTCTTTTGTAGAGGACATGAGGAGGGCAAGTCCTTACACACCCTGCACATGACTCTACCCATTAATACATTTCATTAACACAGGGCATGAAATTAGCTCTACCTTTAAAATAATGTATTAAACAAGGTATGTCTTTGCTAAGCAGAAACTTGCTTTCCGGAAGCCACTGGACCTGAATTCAGAGGGACCTCTTTTATTTTATTACTGGGGCCAGGGAAAGGGTAAACAGGCTCAGTTTACATCCATGTACCTCTTATTTTATGACTCATCCGGTTGTTGGGGAGTATGTGTTCCTCAAGTAGCTGATACAGACAATAGACAGGGGAAATGTGTGTGGCAGTGTTGGGGGAAGATCACATATTATTAAACTTCTTAAAAGTCAAAGATCAGCTTCTTTGGAGGTTTGTCAGTGAAGCTAGTGTGGGAGGGAAATTGTTCTTACTAACATTACAGTGATTTAAGATTAAGCAGAGTGGGAATCGAGTCATCCAAACATCCCTTAGTTGAAATTAGGATGCTCACTGTAGTTCTGCAGAATGTGACATTTCCTTCTTTGATAGATTTATGGTGGAAATGTAGATGGATTTGGAAATGGGAGGGTGGAATAACCTTAATAAATTTATTCTAGTTTAGCATTGTTTTTGGAATCTGAAGGCGACCCCAGTCAGTGTTCTTACCGTGACTGATTTCTTCATTTTGAGAAGCCTTTTCACAGGGCATGGTCATGCCATCCAAGCACCTGCAATGATTTAGCACTTGCTGTGTGCCAGGCAAAGTTCTAGACCCTGGGAATTGGGCTGATTGGGCTTTTTGGGGTTGCAAAGAACAGGCGCCACTGAGTTTACCCTAAGTAATGGGAATTTACTGTGGAAGGAGGGCTGACCGGAATCTCCACCACTCAGCCACGTGTCTCCGAAAAGCCTTCCGGAAAGGCCACCCAGCCAGGCCTCACGAAAACTGGATTGAAGTTCAGGAACTGGAAGGTCATTCAGGATACGGCTCTGTGACTGGGTTATCTCGCTGCCCCCTGAGCAGCAGGCATCTGCGATCCCTACTAACAGGCTTAGCCGCCAAGGTGATTCAGCTCCTCTCTCGCTGTTTTTCTCCGGTGTCTCTTGGCTTCTGCTTCAGCTACCAACTGCTCAGCTCTCTGTTGATCTCACATTTAAACTCCTTTAGTGAAAGGATCTAATTGGCCCCACTGGGCACTAACCAGGTGCTAGAGTTGGACTGAACTTTTGTGTCAGGCCTCCTTTTGGGTTACCGGACACCCTGCCGCTGGGCAGACCTTGGTCAGGTGCTTACTCCTGGGCTCGTCACCCATGTCCACTTTGTTGGGTTGCATGATACAGAGCCTGGCCGCCTTTGCTTAAGAAACTTTGTAGAGTTCCTCCTCGTCTTCCCTCCACAGTATTTGCGCCCCCAGAAGGAGCTATGTTTACGGCAGGCACTTGGAGTTTAACAAACCTCTGTCTTCGGGAAGCCTCAAGGATGAATAAGATACAACTCCATTAGCTTACCATCTATAAGGAAAAGGAGCCATGCTCACAAGTAATAGTGGTACAAAGTGATGGATGAGGTGCTCCTGTCTGATCTTCACATGGCCAGTGCAGCCCTGGGGAGATAACATAAACATACTCATGCCTAGACCCTATTCCGGGGCAATTAAATGAGGATCTTTTGGGTGGTGGAGCCCAGGAGTTGGTATTTTTTAAATATTCCTCAGGTCATTCTAAGTGCAGCCTGCATTGAGATATCAATTATCTTTATTTTTTTCAATGATTACAAGCATTTTATGGTTCTTTTTGAGAGCAAAACTAAGAGACTCATTTATTTTGATAGATTCTAGGACTAAGACTCTTCCAAAATATTAAATATTTTTGAAATACTACTAATTATCTTGAAATGCTAATATAAAGGAAGATGTAAAATTTAATTTAGAGTTAAAGCAAATACTTCTAGTTCTGAAAAAACATTTATTTGCATGATTACAACATTCAGATGACAGCAGAAAAGGTGAAAAGCTCTAAAAATTTCAGTCCTCTACTGCAAAGCCCAACATTTAAATGTACTGTAATTGATATTGACAGAAATTTCCTCAGACTCACCTTTACAGACAATGAAAAACAAAGTTTCTCCCAAAGCGACTGCCAGAAAGTACTCATTTGATGTCTTGGGCACAGGGAATGGCCTGATGTCACAAAGCCCCCAAATGCTGAAAGTAGGGACCCCCATAGCTCTGTGACTCCATCTTCTTTCTCGAAGAAACAAAGAGATGTTTGATTTGAAGCTATTCCTCAGCAAAGTCCAGAAGAGAACAATTTACAGTCCAGAAGAGAGCCACTTTTGCTCTGAATCGTTAGCTCATCCCCTGATAAAGTAACGACAGACTGCTAAGAAGTCTCACCCTGTCCCTAGATCTCAGCCTTTCATCTGGAAAACCTTGCCTGAGAATCAGAAAGAGAGAAGCAAGTCTTGTTCAAGCATCTCATCTCCTCTTTGAGAAAAAAGGTTCAAAACCGTGCTAATTTCTCATTTCACCATTACCATCATCAGTATCAGAATTTGTTGTGGAGCTCTAACTGAAAGATGTTGAAATGATGGGTGCTGACAGTGCTTGCAGAGAAAACACAAACATAAAATGATGAAAAATCATATAAGGTATCCTCAGGCTATGGGCCTGGAGTATTACTGTATTTGGAACTCAGAGTAGGCCTTGATTGGGGTAGGGAGGAGGGGGTGGGGAGGGGCATTCCAGGCTAGGTGGAAAGAGTCTCTGGAGACTACAGCCTGTGGGGCGCTGGGGCAGAGGGTCAGCCTTTGGCCATTCACAGAGTCCTCAGTGAGCTCCCAGTGGGGCTTTGCAGCTGCTTTGCCTAGAAGGGCCAGGCCCTGGGTCCCTGGACTCCCTCATAGCAGGTCATGATGGCTGAAACAGAATCCATCACTTGAGCAGGGCAATTTCCTTTTCAAAGTCACCACTTTATTGGGCAGGGATTTGTTTCATGCTTGCTGGCTCTTTAGCAGTCATTTTCACCAATGATACTATTACTCATAAAGAAAAGATAAATTCACTGTCCTTCAAATCACTTAAAAAAAGAGAAAAGAAAAAAAAAACAAAAGTGGGAAAATGGACTGTAATGGCCTCTTAGCAAAGTAGTAGTAAGAGACAAATTCTTTGGAGCAAATAGTTTCTCATAAGAAATCAATTATGACATTGACAAGGTAGATTTATCAGTAATTTCCAGCAGTTCTTATATAAGGATCAGATTGTCCCATTATCTATTAATTCTGTTTTTGGTTCTTGAGGTTGCGTTATGAGACTCCTCTTCTCCAGAAATAAAACTTCAATCAGGTAAGAGGGTTATGGCAGACTTTGTTACTATGCATGTGGTGTAATGGCTTAGCTCTGGGCTTGACAAACTTTTTCTGTAAAGGGCAAGCATTTTCTGTAAAGATAGTAAGTATTTAGGCTTTGCAGGCCATACAATCTCTATTGAAACCACTCACCTCTACCCTGTATTGCAAAAGCAGCCATTGATAATATGTAACTGGGCATGGCTGTGTTCCCATGAAACTTTATTTATGGACAGAGTGAGATTTGAATTTTATATAATTTTCATGTGTCACGAAATACTCTTCTTTTGGTGTTTTCCCAACCGTTTAAAAATGTAAAAACCATTCTTAGCTCGTGGACCAAACAAAAGCGTGCAGTGGACAGGATTTGGGCAGAGGGCTGTGGTTTGTGGTCTCCAGCTTAAGTTAAAATTGTAACTTTGAGGGGATGTAAGAGCTCTAGAATTATGAAATTCTAGAGCCAGAAGGGACCTGATACTTTTCGTCTTATCTCCTCATTTTACCAGGAGAGAACACTGAGGCAGAGAGTGGTTAAGTGACTTATCCGAGGTCACCCTTTGAGTGAGGGACACACCCCTACTATCTGAGAAAGCATGGGATCAAGTCAGTACTTCGTTGCTCTATGCATGTGTGCGTGCGCAGTGGGAACAGGGGAGCACATGGAGGATGCGTTGTGTCATCTTTCTTTCATATTGTGATTTAGTATATTTTGTTGAGACAAGATATGAGTCAAAATACGGAGAAATCATTTGGAATCTGTATTGGTGGCAGAGTTTGATGTCAGGCTGAATGGGGAACAGAAATTTGAAAAGAAGTCAATTGCTGCCTTTTAGAGTATAGCAGAGCTCCCAGGCAAAGCAGAGCACTAAATAGATTTTTTTTTCCTTCTTAAAAGGCCATTATATTTCTGTGATTGGTTTTTAGACAGCAGATACACAGAACCTTATCACAAAGGCATGGAGATGTTGAGAGAGAGATTTGAGTGGCAAATCAAGATACCTGTATCCTCATTCTTTTGTGGACCACCTGGTGCCTACTGAAGAAATTTTAGAACCTTTTAAAGAATTGAAATCATAAGCGATAGTTAAAGACACTGCCATAGAGGATAGTTGACTCTGAGACAAGGACTCAGCATTTGGACCTCAAGCCAAAATATTCCAAGGGACCTCTTTGCCATGTACTAATTGCATAATACAGACTTCAGTCTAGACTCTTCTCTTGCCTAAAATAGATGAACTATTTGACCATTTCCAACTCTGGCAACAAAACAATAAGACAGCCTCTCTTCTCTGCCATTGTATCCCCTCCGCCATTGCCTTCTCCACTTTTCCGCTGTGTGGGAAAATGAATTAATCAGCTAATGAATCCTCATCAATATTTATGGGTTTTATAGAAGGAAATAGTAAATATAAGTGAATTTTGTGGTTCCTTAGATGTTTCAAGCAACTCCCCAAATATCCCTCATTGAATTAGCAGCTGGGTGAGGCGGCAGAGGCTTCTAATGTTGTGTCACAGGCACCTCACTCGCCTCACCCCAGTCCCTGCCCCGATTAGCAGAAACCTCAAGTTGAGAGCCCCAAATCCTAAAGCCACTAATTAGGAGGAAGTCATGCTGAGGATCAGACAATTCTGATCAAGTTGGAGCTCTGCCCCTGACAAGCTGTGGGAGCTTAGGAAACTTCTAGCATCCCTGGCCTCACCTATTTTTCTCTTCTTTCTCCTTCTCTCCCTCACTGGGATACTGTGTGAATAGACAAGACAATAAACCAGATTTTCTGAGTTCATAAACTACTCCCTGGGAATAATTTATATTGCACATATACTTTCTGGCCACTGGGGTACTATTTGGTAAATTACTGCCCTCCTGCAGTGCTCTAAGTGGAACCCCAGTGACCTGAAGGAGTTAATGCCTCCCTCCAAGCAATTCACTTACTCCTGGGGCGTAATTTATACTCTCAGAGGATCTGGCAGACCATATGTGAAGTGCTTGGAGTTCTTTAAGAGAAAGTCAGCTCTAGAAATGTAAAGAATTAATATTTCAAAAAGCGCATTTGCAGACCGTTCTTTGAGGAATCTGTCATGCAACTTTCCCCAGAACAATCCTGTAAGGTAGGTCATTGTTACCCCTTCCAGAGTCATTCTCTAGCCAATGAAATATCAGTCCATAATACACCCAACCTGAGGTTGGGATAACATATTTGTAGAAGGACTTCACTATTTGAAAAATAACAGGTGAGAGATTGGGAAGTAGTTTTTAGAGATCTGAGTACAAAACAAAAGGCAAAAGTAAGGTAAATGTAATAAAGTATCTGCTTTGTAAATAATAGTAGGAATATGACCTAAAGGGTCAATTTTTTATACAAACACAGGAGCACTTACTATTAGAATGTGGCATCCATTTCAGGATGGTCACCAAGCAGACTATCTGTATATCTTAATATGCAGTTATTGCTCAAAACACTTTTATGACGTGAATGTATTTGTTCATTTATCCAACAAATATCATTTAGGCATCTCTCTTCATGAGGCCTTGTGTTGGCGGTTGTCAAGAGACACAAAAAGGCGTGAGGTAGCATTCCTATATTCGGTGGTGGCACTTATCTGGATTTTGAAGGTGAGTTTAATTTTGGGCAAAGACCAAATCATCTGAAATAAATTCTAGGGAAAGAGGTGGGTTAAAAGCAAGAGAAGGTAATTCAGAGACTGGTTTTTTGCTATGGCTTGGTGGTAGGTTGCAATCTTCACCCTTCTCTGTATCCATGTTCCTTGCAATATGACTTTTCAGATCCTCTTACTAAAATGGTGGTGTCCATTTCCCCATCCCTTAAATCTGAACTGGCATTCTGACTTGTTTTGGCCAGCAGAAGGCAATGGTGGTGAGGATATTCCACTTTTGAACCTAGGACCCAAAAGGCTAACATGTTTCCACTTACTCTCTCAAACCTCTGCCATTACCATAAGAACGTGCTTGGGTCAGCCTGAAGAAGGATGAGTGACATGTGGAACAGAGTAGTCTTGCTCTGTTCATCACAGCCAAGGTCAGCTTACATTGGCTGAAAGCCAGCTGACTCCCCTGACCAGACATATAGGTAAGCCTTGTAAAGATTGGCAGAGCTGCCTGTCTGACCACTCCTGATGGATAAGCAATAAATACTTGTTGTGGGCTACAGGGATTTTGTGGTTGTTACATAGCATTATTATGGCAATGGATAACTGATACAGCTTCCTTCCAGAAGAGGAACTCCCACTGTTGAACAAGAACAAGAACAAGTGTGTCTCCAGGTGACAGCTAGGAGGCTGTAACACACATGTGGGAATATGTGTGCCAGTGATTACTGGGCATCCTTCCTCTGTTCCTACTATACTTTGTACTCATTGTATGCAATTGCTTGTCTGCGTATCCACCATTAGGCTAAATGTTCTGCAAGGACAGGAGCCACTTTTATTTTTACGTCCTTAGCACTAACATATAAATGGTATTTGTTAGGTGAAGGAAAGTGAAGAATTTCGTTAGAAAGCATAACTTGCATTGTTGCTTTTAGTGACTTTGTTCTATTCGTGACGTCTTTGGTGTGTAGTATGTAATCTTAAAAAAATAATGCAATTACTTGAGTAAGTCATACATGTACATCTTACACCTTTCAAAAGATGCAAAAGTATTTTCAATGATAAGTGATTCTCTCTCATGCTGTCTTCAAGCCATCCACTTTTCCTGGTAACACAATTACTAGATTCTTATGACTTCTTCAGAGATTGTGCAATCATTAAGATAAAGCTTTTGTCTAGGAAAGAAAGAATGTTTTCCACCATTATATTGTAAAAGTCTGCCCATTTTACAATCCCTTTTCTTTTGCATATTTGGGCCCATTGGATGTAGCCTGTGGGTTCTTTGCTAGAATGTTGTGAGAGCTGTTCCCTCTGAGTTTGTTCTTTTTTGATTAAGCAACATTCCCTTGGCTTGTTTAAGGTTTGAACCCTGCTGGAATTAACGCAGCTGTTTGTGTTTACTTCTTTGCTCATATACTTTATCACATGTGATGTCAGCCAGCTCCAGGAGCCTGGTAATTACCACGGAACCAGGCAGCAGAGGGAGCAGATAAACTCAAAACATTGAGTTTTCTGGGTGACAGGGAGCCAGGAGTTCTGAAGCCCTAAAAATATCTTTTATCGTGGAGAACCCGTGCTTCTATTTGATGATGATAGTGGGGTGAGTATAATTTTAGTATTTAAAACTCTTAAAGGAGTCTTTACAGGCCAGCATGTTTCTTCTGCTCTATGACAATGCAAAGACTTATAAACTGTGGCAAAACCATGTTGGCATAACTGTGTTGGCTGGAATCCAGCTGGCATTGTAGCTTTCAAGGCGTTTTGGAGGTTCTATGAGGTGGTTTAAACCAAAGCCACAAAAATGAGAAAAAATTTATTTTCAGATGAATTTTAGTACACTGCCAACTCCTGGTACTTGTGTGCTAAAGATGCAAATTTTTTTTTCTATTTTAACAAATTAAGTGGTTTAAAAATATTCTGCCTCATGATTCATGAGATTTCAAGTTCAACTAATTTTTTTTTTCTTTGCTGAAGGAGATTCGCCCTGAGCTAGCATCAGCTGCCAATCTTCCTCTTTTTATATGTGAGCTGCCACCACAGCATGGCCACTAACAGACGTGTGGTGTGGGTCCACGCCCAGGAACCGAACACAGGCTGCTAAAGTGGAGCACACTGAAGTTAACCACTAGGCCAAGGGGGCTGGCCTGAGGTTCAATAATTTTTAATAAGTGCAAAATATGTACCAGGTACCGTATTAAATGTTTACATGTATATTTTCTCATCTGGTGAAATATATTATTCATTAAATATTATATTACAAAGATCAAAGCAGGAAAACATTTAAGAAATAAATTGAGGTAGTTGTTTTATATCTGCTTTTTACGGTTTGCATAATCTTGGTTTGCATAATATGATTGTCCATAATATCTCTGTAGAGGAAGTCTTCTGTACGTTTTACACCAGATTTAGCAGGATTCACTTATATTTGTGTGATGGCTACTCTCAGAGAAGAAAAACTGTTGTGTGGCATGCCTGGGACGTTAGTTTTTCTTTTTTTTACGATTGAGGGACTGTTTCATGAAAACATCGTTTCAAACAGATGTGTTCTAGTGTTTACTGAGGGGAGAATTTAAGCCAGACGGATTAATTAGCAGTTAGTCAAGACATTTTCCTGTTCCTATCTGGGTAGTCTGGGGATTATGAAGCTGTCAGTAGGTTATATTCAGATGATGAAAAAAATGACAAACAGCAAACCAAACCTCAGATCACTATGCTAGGGTGTAAAATATGGTGTCCTAACCGCTGTATGTGGTTTTTATTGGAACACGAGTTTTTTGGAGCAGGCATGATAGAACTAACATAGGGGTCAGCAAACTTTTTCTATAAGGGCCAAGTAGTCAATATTTTAGGCTTTGTGGGCCACACAGTCCATCATAACGACTTAACTCTGTGATTGTAGTGCTAAAGTAGTTTTAGACAATATATAAATGAATGAGCATGGCTGTATTCCAACACTTTACTTATGGACAGTAAAATTTGAATTCCATGTAATTTTCACGTCAGGAAATATTATTATCCTTTCGATTTTTTTCAGCCACTTAAAATGCAAAAAATATTCTTAGTTTGCTGGCCATACATTTGGCCCGTGGACCATACTTTGCCAACTCTTGGGCTAAAGCAAAGAGTCTCTAATCACTTTTAGTCCTGGTTCTTTTTGGTGTTTTACACAACGCTAAATCATTTTAAATCTTAGTTTCTATATTTGTAAAATGAGGGATAAAAGTAGTTGTACCGTTTCTTCCCAGGATTGTTGGCAGGACTAAGTGAGGTAGTGGATGTGAAAGTATTTGAAGAATGTGAAGTGCCATGCTGATGTAAGATATTGACTATCTTATTATTTGCGTTGGGAATGTGTTTGATTAGAAGTAGCGGAGAACTGGATTAACAGAGGCTTAAGCCGTAAAGACACTTATTGGTTACTTACGTAGATTTACAAATTCCCAGAATTGGTGCAGTGGCTCAAGGATGTGGTTCAAGACCTGGTATTTTCTCTCTACATTCTGCTAGTATCCTTGTGCTGGTGCTCCCTCCTTTCACAGTGCAAGATGGATGTCGTAACTCCAAAAGTCGTGTTCTTACATGACCGCATCCCAGAGAAGAAGGGGACAGGGAATAGAGAGAAAAGGCATCTCCTTCCAGCTCTCTCTTATTTTGTCAAGGAGGAAAATCTTTCCTAGCACTCCCCCAGCAGCCTTCCCTTCACATCTCATTGATCAGAACTGGTTCACATGCCCATCCTAGCCCAACACTGGCAAAGGGGAAGAGGATTGGTGTGCTTGGCTTATAGACCAGCATGAATCACCTTCTGGAATTGGGCACAATGCTGCCTGGACAGTCAGGAAGCAAGGAAGGAAGACAAGGGAGCAACTAATGATGTCTGCCACATTATTTTTCTTTCCTGTTATAAATTGTGTGACTGGCATCAGGTTGGGGGACTAGCTGGTGAGTTAATTCCCTAAGAGCACTCAGAGATGAATCCTCCAGGTGCCATACAAGCTATCCTCACAGGCACATACAGACGAAGATCATTGTAGTTAGCTGGCGTGGTGAGACTATGAGTGGAGACTGCATGAAGACAGAATCTCTGCATTACCCTGCACTAACCTGAGAAGGAAGCAGAAAAAGGGAGAAACCTGAAGGTCATCTCCATATGGCTTCTGGAATGTACTAGACAGAACCAATTTAATCCGCATGTGCTATTAGGAAATGCCCCACAGTCTTTTTTTCTGAGGAATCTCTTCATTGTAAAACCCAGTACTAAAGGTACATTTGTATGTGGGTCTCATTTTCAGAAAATTCAGATTAAAAATCTAGACTCTAAAAGTACAAATTATGAGTCAAAGATTCTAAAGTCTAAAATATTCTTTATTTTATATAAGAAAATACTTTGGTGCTCTTTAAATGATTTCATTGATGAAAATCAGATTTCCACATAATTTATATACGTGTGTGTGTGTCACACACACACCACCTATTACATTGCATTGAGCTAGGTAGACCTATAACTTGATTGAAAAATCATGAGTAAAATAATCCTTTAGCATAAAATTGTCACTTATGTGAACTAAATCAAATAGGATTTCAGGGTACCAGAGCAAATGACATTTCCCAGGGATTAAATGCCTACTTCAAAAAGAGAGTCTTACAGAAGTTATAAACTCTGTACATACAGGTCAAATCTCATGACAATTCAGAGATTACTACTTTGTGTGGGAGGTTCAACCAAAGGTTCCTCAAAACTATAAAACTCTAAGATTCTTTCATTCTATGAGTATCATTTGACCTTAAAGTTCCTTTCCTTTCGCAAATACTACAATTCTATGATTATAGTAGAAAGGTCTTTATAATCAAGTTCCAAGCTCATAACCTGCTGTCCCTACATTCACCTATCCATTTGTCTATTTGTTCGTTCGTTGTTTTTTTTAGCTCACACACACTCCCTGGTCTCATGGAATTTACGGCGTAGATGAGAAGATCAACATTAAAGTCTAGCTGATGATACTGATGAATGCATAACTATACACAGAGTAGTGCTCTGAAGAAAGGAATGCTGCACTACAAAAGGACACGATGAAAGAGCCCGACCTTGACTGGGGATCAGGGAAAGCTTCTTCGAGGAAGCAATCCTTGAGCTGAGAACCGATTTGTGAGTAGGAGTTAATTAGGTGAAAGAGGTAGAGTGGGATGGAAAGAGCATTCCTAACAGAGGTACGGTGTTTGTGTTTCCCTGTCTATCTATCCATCCATTTGTCTGTTCATCCATCCGTCCATCCTGTTTTACAAAACAGTATATTACCAAGTGATCATGGAGATGTAAATAGGTATAATTGTCTCTGTTTTCTAAGTCTGTAAGTCAATTTGGGGACACCAGAGAAGAATTCTTTTAAAAATTCCTCAGAAAATGTTAGGAGGTTATTTTAAGTCATAATAGACAAGAGGCAATTTCAGCCCTTACTCTTGCTCTTATTGGAAGGGGATTTGCCTGAGTGAACATCAAGAGGCCGCTCTCCCCTGGGTATCTACCTTGTTCTGCCTTTTTCCCTGTGGAGAAGGTGCAGAATGCAGAGGATAAGACCCATGTGCCAGCAGCCTAACGCTGCTTCCATGGGAACTGAAATTTGCAGTTAAAAATTGAAGCAAAATCCTCCATTAATAGAGGAATTTATCTGATTTTACAATGAGTCACGTTTTCCTAGTGCTTTTAGGATCAACCAGAAAGCAAAATTCAGTATTTTAAAAAAAGGGAATTAAATTGGTATCTGTTCTACATAAAGCGATTTCATCATCTCACTGTGATCTCCAAGAATATGGTTCCTCATACGAAAATCAGGGATAGTTTGCAGGCATGCTTTTAGTGATTAGCAAATTATTTATTTACAGTTGTTGTCAGATTAATGGTAAATGTTCCACTGAGTTCACAGAATCTTGGCATTGAATTTATACCTGGAATGAGCTTAGAGATCCAGTATAGCTCTCATTTTACACAAGAAGAAATCGAAAGCCAGATAGGTTAAGTGACTTTTTCAAGCGACTTAAAAATTTATGCCCCAACTCATTTCACAGGCTTTTGTGATAGCTGTGCAAGTAGGGTATAAGCTATTTAGGATCTTCTATCTCCTGGTTCAGTGTGGGGGACTCTGGAGTATGATTCTGCACTCAAATTCTTGCTATTTACTAGCCTTGTGACCTTGGAAAAATTGCTTAACTTCCCTAAGCTTCAGTTTTCTCATCTCTAAAAGAGGATAATAATTGTACCCACATCCCTGCATTGTTGTGAAGATTAGAATGCATGAGAAGAGGCAGGCCTGTAGTAAACACTCAGTAATTGCTTTGTGATGTTTCTTGCTTTGGCCAACAGAAAGAAGACGGAAGTGACCATATGCCAGTTCAGAGTGGGACTTCAAGAAGCATGGTAAGTTTCCTCTATTCTCTTGTGCTCCTCCACTCTGCCATGAGAAAACCATGTCCTGGGCAGTCAGTCATTCCAGAGAAAGGAGACAGATGGAAGAAATGTGAGCCCTTATGATTAATGTCACCATGAACATTCTAGTACAGGTCTTTTTGTGGGCATTTGCATTTACTTCTAAGTATATACCTAAGAGTGGAATTACATTAAAAGCAGCCAATGAGTTTTCCAAAGTGGTTGTACCATTTTACACTTTCACCAGCAATGTGTGAGAGTTCCAGTTACTCCGCATCCTCACCAACACTTGATATTGTCAGTCTTTAATTGCATCCATGTGTGTTGTTATTTCATTGTTGGTAGCCTACTGAGTTACGCTTGTTTCTTGCATGTTTGGAAACGTATTCTAATACTAGCTTCTAGGTCCTCTGTTTCATCCTCAAAGATGGCACACAAAAAGTTTGACTAAGCCCAGACCCAGACTTGTCACTCAGCCTTGCTTGTTGAGACTAACAGCTGGGAATTGGCCAGATCAAACACCACATACCCCAGAAACACCCAGCCAGTTCACTGGGTAGTTGGTGAACCTTCCAAGGGATCACACTGCTTTGATGCTCAAACTCCTCCTAAGTGACAAATGTCTGTGAGTGTGATGTAGAGCTATTGAAGATCTTTTCTGTACCTTCCGTGTATTTAATGAACAACAAAAATTCGTACTTTTTGGTGGACTAAAATCCCATTGTACTTGCGTAGCTCACAGAGGAGGAGCCTACTCACGATTTTGCCTAGGATGCCATGGTAGTAACTGCAGTGAGCTTTCCAAATCATCTTCCTCTCCATCTGTTCTCCTTTCTACTTTCTCTCCTTTTTCACTTCTTCCTTTCCCTTTTTGTCTCCTCTCTCTCCCTTTCTCCTCCTTCTCCTTGTTTTTCTCCGTTCATCAACTAAATGAGAGTTGAACAAAACATCTGGACACAAATTTGAAATCACCAGGAAAACTCAAGCCCCTGAAGCATCACGTGTTTGCCCCTGTCCCTTCTGAATTTAACATAGGCCTGATTTAATTCATATATAATTTTAACGTGTGTATTATGAAGAGTTCTATTTTCTCCTGTTATTGTTACTTCATGTAGTTATTTCTATATTCCTAGATAACCCTCATAATTGTGATTCCTAATGTCAGTATAATAGTCCATTGTATTAACACACCAGCCTGCTGAGCCATTGCATCCAGTAGCTACACAATATTCCAGCATGTGGATGTAGTACAATTTATCTAACTGGTCCTCTTTTATTGGACATTTGTGCCACTTCCAGTTTGGAGCATTAATAATAGTGCTATAGAAAATATTCTTTTGCATAAATCTTTATCTACATTTCTGCTTATTTCCTTAGAATTAATTTCTAGATGGAGAATTACAGGGTCAGAGGGTAATGAACCTTTTAAATGTTCTTTCAACACGTAATCCATAATGTTCCAGAAAGACCGGGTCAACTTTTTTACTAAAAGTAGTGTATGAGAATGCCTATTTCATTCATGGCAAATGAAGACTTAAGATTTCTGTTTTAATTATATAATTTTTAAATTTTTTTGAAATTACACAGAAATAGCTATCTGCTGCCCAAACCTCAGTCTTACAGAAGTGAATGATTATTTCTTTAAATGTTGGGATGAAGGCTAGATTATGTTTAGGGGTGTACCCTGTGCTTTGCAGGATTTTTAGGTGGTGGTAGATGCTGTTGAGGCAGGACTAGGGTATAGTCAGTGACAACAGGTAAGATTTCTCAATGTGTGTTCCTCAACAGCAGTCAATTGCTGGGTTCTTCTCCCTTCCTTCCTCCTGTCTTGGTGGTCATTAGTGCTGTTCTCCAAATCTTTCTGGCTCTCTGACTTCCAGGCACAGGGTAGGATTTCACTTCCTGGCCCCCTTGTAGTTGAGTGACTAGTGGTTGGCCATATGACTAGTTCTGGACAATAAGATGTGAGTGGAAGTGATGTGTGTCACCACCAGACCAAGCATGTAATTGCTGGTGTGAGATTGTGCAGAGCTTTCTCTCCTCTCCCACGTGCCTGGCAATGTGTGAATTGGTGTCCACTTCCTCAGCCTGGGTCCTGGACTAAGGAGAGATGGAGCAGGCCCCCTCAGCCAAGCAGTGATGGAAATGTAGTGGAGTGAGAAAGATGCCTTTTTTGGCTTTGAGATTTTGATAGTGTTTATTACTACAGCATAAACTAGCATGTTCTGAATGTGATCCCTTCTCCTTTCTCACCTCCCAACATTTATGAGTAACTCCCCATATCCATTATATAGTCATAAGACCTTTGCCATGAGCCTAGTGGTTGGGAGTCAAGAGAAATAGATTTGAATCTCGTATGTTATGTAATTGACACAAAATGCTTAGATACAATTAACACTTAAGTTTTTAAAACCGTATTTGATGGCAAGTAAACAAAAAATAAATATATTTATTCAGGGAGGTTCAAGAACAAATAGACTGATGGTTACAGGGTGGAAGGGCAGTGGGAAGGGAAGAGATATTGATGACTGGCTTAGAGAGAGATGGAAGTCTGACCAGTTGGTACTGTAGATGTGTCCATCTAGTCTGTAGCTTTAAGCTTCCCAAAGTAGTACAAAAAGGCTAAGCCCCTTATTGCTCAAGAACCTGCCAAAAGAATTTGCTACTGTGTGCACAGATAGGCAGGGTGTATGTGTGCATATGTGTGAAATTGTGAAGAAACCACACGCCCAGTGGAAAATAATGCCCCCTTTTAAACAAGCTGAGCAGGTCTTGATACAAGGCAGTGTGGTCTTGCTCCTCTGTTTACAGAGGAAGCCTTTCATGCAGGCATGATAGATGGACGATTTAAACCATTGAGATCCTTTATGCTAACAGACCGTTTATCTTGGATTTTCCAGGTTTCCAGGTTGTCTTCAAGGAGTACACCATTGACTCTGAAATTAGCTGTTGTGTGGACAGATACGTTACAAGTCTCTAAATTACCAAGCTGCAGGATCTTGTCATTCCAATGCTTTAATGGACTCTAACACCATTTCAGCCCTCCCTTCTGCCCTGAGACCTTGTCACCTGGGCAATTTCAGGTTTCTTTTCCTTCCAGATGTCAGGGCCTCTCCTCCTCCTCCTTGCTTTTCTTTAGCATCAACATTTCCAACTACTATTTTCTAGTTATCTTTCTTTTTGTTTCTGTGATACATCCAAACCTTGGATTTTCCCTAAAGGGAAAAGTGGGTCTTCTGCCTAGGAGAAGTGGATGGCTTCCCAAGTTGTGCTCAAGGGCTCTTTCCTCAGTTTTCAGATTTTTTGGGAACTGAAAAATCTGGTTGCTGGATTGTGTGTATGTGTGTGTTCCCTATCATCACAGAAAAGAAAGAATATGTGTGATAGCATTCTCTTTTAAAGTCAGTTGAAATCTTGTATAGAGAATGTTTGAGAAGACATTCCCTGAAAGATGTTCCCTGAAGAGATGTTCCAGGGTGGCATCACCCAAGCAGATGTGAAAAGTACTTTCCTGGAGGCGCTCTGGGGTGAAAAGTTTTCTCCTTCCAGAATGCTTTCCTAGTAGCCTGTATCTCTAACAATTTATCATCTGTATCAGAGTCACCAGGGTGGTATTAACTATGCAGATTCCTGAGTTACACCCCAGAGCCACTGGGTTGGAGCCTTTGGGGGCTGGGAGCCAGGGATTGGCATTTTAACAGATACCCCAGTTTCCGAGCCACTGCCTCCTAGTAGAACTCCCACCAGCTCCAGAGCTTCTCCTATATGCCTCACCTGCAACAAAGCCGCAGACCCTTCTGTCTCGGAGACAGGGATGGGAGGGAGGGAAGATGGCTCCCTGCCTCTTCTCCAAAACTCTCTTGTGTGGCTGGGCCTAGTATCTGTGAGTGAGAAGGTCATGCAGGAAGGTCAGTGTACAAGGCTTAGGAAATACATAAGGAGTGAAACACTGAGATGTTTCCCTGACTTCTAGTCAGGGATTATGGAACAAGCACCATTTTGTTTTTTCACTCGCTAGTCCTCAAAATATTTTTTAAGGGGCCGGCCCGGTGGCGCAGCAGTTAAGTTCGTACATTCCACTTCTTGGTGGCCTGGCGTTTGCTGGTTCGGATCCTGGGTGCGGCCGTGGCACCGCTTGGCATGCCATGCTGTGGTAGGCGTCCCACATATAAAGTAGAGGAAGATGGGCACGGATGTTAGCTCAGGGCCAGTCTTCCACAGCACAAAGAGGAGGATTGGCAGCAGATGTTAGCTCAGGGCCAGGCTTCCTCAGCAAAAGGAGGAGGACTGGCAGTAGTTAGCTCAGGGCTAATCTTCCTCAAAGAAAAAAAAATATTTTTTAAGTGCTCAACATGTGCCAAGCACCATTCTAGGTGCATTCCACCATTTGCATCCCTCATCTTTTTGTCAGATATGAAAAATGAAGCTGAGATTTAAGTCCCAAATCATCCCCAAATAGGTAGCACCAGCAAAATAATTAGAATTAAGACAATTCTCTCCCTTTCTCTGAGTATGTGTGTGGTACCTTTGTGTCATACACATATGTATGTGGGTTAGGGACTTTAGTGTGTGTTTTCAAACATACGTGTATAATTCATTCAGTTTATTACTTTACTCATGCTTTTGTTTATTTATTCAGTAAACATTCACCCATTCATTAATTCAACTAATATGTATTGTAGGCCTGCTGTGGACCAGTCTAGGAACTAGGGATACAGTGATGAAAGAGGCAAAGTTCTTGCCCTCATGGAGCTTTTGTTTCAGTAGACAGTGCTCTTATATGTGTATTAAATAAAGAAATACTATTTTGCAATTTATGTTTCTAGCAGAGATAGGCAAGCCAGCACTGGTGCTCTAGTGGTTAAGATTTTGTGCTCTCACCACCACAGCCCCTGTTCATCTCTTGGTTAGGGAACTACATCACCTGATTGTCGGTTGTGATGCTGTGGCAGCTGCATGTTACTGTGATTCTGAAAGCTATGCCACTGGTATTTCAAATACCAGCAGGGTCACTCATGGTAGATAGGTTTCAGCGGAGCTTCCAGACCAAGACAGATTAGGAGAAAGGACCTGGCCACCCACTTCCGAAAAAATTGGCCATGGAAGCCCTGTGAAAAGCAGTGAAGCATTGTCTGATACAGCTCCAGAAGGTGAGAGGATGGTGCAGAAAGACTGGGCAGGGTTCGGCTCTGGGGTACACAGGGTCACTGGGAGTCGGAATGGACTCCTCAGCGCTGAGGAAAAGAGACTGGCAATTCAACAGAATGCAGATCAGGGCACAGGAGCCCTGCCCTTTTCTTTCCTCTTCCTGGCTTTACAAATGTTCTTTTCAGCAAAGGTGCCTTCCCAGACATTTCATCACATGTTTGAAATATTTATACACATAACTGGGGAAAATGAATTAAAAGTGTGAACTCGACATGGCACGTAAGTCAAAATAGGAAGCTAAGTTATTCAGCTGTGACTTTTGACTGGTTCCCATTAGGAAACCCCTTTCAAGAAAAACCTTCACGGAGCAACACACTTCAAAGAGGTTCCCGGCAATGCTGTGTTTAAAACGTGTTAATGGGACCTAATTGCAAACAGCTGCCCAGTTTAACCACTGTTTGGGTTGGCGCTTGCCCACTCTAGATCTAGGTCATTTTTTTTGTTACATTATGTTCATATTGGGATCTTAATATATTTGTTATAATCTCAGAATGTGTCACCATCCAAAGGATTGTGTGATAAATAAAAACATGGAGACAACATATTTGTCAAACCCTGAGGTCACTGCCAAGTACAAAAGTGTTTGAGAGCAGATGCCCTATTTGATACTTGGTGTGGGGTCATGGTACCTCGCTTAAACATATGGGAAAATATCCAACGACAACAAAAAAAATCTGTGGTATTTGCTGGTATGAGTGGAAACATTGAATGATGTTTTATTGTCTATTCTCCACTTAACTATTGAATTTTAATGTCATGTACTGTAGAAAGAAGGAGGAAAAATAAATAAATATATATTAGTTTATTAGGTGAAATTGCTATTGGATCTAGTTTTATAGAATATTGATGTTTCTCAAGAAGCAATTATGAGAGCAACTTATTTGTTAAATGTGAAGGGGTCGTTTTCAAAATATTTAACAAGTAGTAAGGCATGAACACTGAACAGGTGGAAGGAGCACTGGCCATAGTAACTGGCATGGCCATACTCATGCATACTTGTATAGCGACCAAAGGGTTCAGTATCCGGCAAGTTCTCAGTGAGGCTGCCTGGAATGTGATCCTGCTGGGATTCAGTATAGAATGTGCACCTCAAAGTTATCTCACCCTAGGCGGGAGAGAGCTGGGGTATTTATACCCATTCCCATCCCACATTGGTTGAAGGCTGCTTCCTGGGCATTAATTTTCCAGCACTTTTGTCCTGCCATTCAAGTGGCAAAGTGGGCTCTGGAGGACTGAGGATGCCCATATGCAAAGGAATGCTGGTGCTGGCAATTGGAAGTCAGGCTGCTGAGGATTGAAATGGTATGTACCCAGGAGTATGGGTGGGGCATGAGCGGCACCTGCTATGGTGGTAGGGGGGCATTTGAGGATGTTGGTAGAACTGAAATAGGGATCATGAAATATTTCTGTCTCTGCATTGGGTACATCAGTAGCAATAGCCTCCCTGAGATTGTTTGAAACAAATTGGCCCTCAGAATATGAGTTATAAGTTAAATGGGATTGAGGGGGTGGAGTGTATAATAAAAATGATGATGACGAGAATAAGATCGTTAATATTTATGTGTTCTCACTATGTGATAGGCATTGCTTCCCCATTTTCCAGATGAGGAAACTGAGGATTAGTGATGTTGAATAACTTGCTCAAGGACACACAGGTGGAATGGTAGAGACAGGATTTGAATTCTGGTCTTTCTGACTCCGTATCACAAACTCCTGAAAGTGTGAATGGTTTAACACAAATCCTTCCTTTTCTCTTTCCTTCCTTCCCTCCCTTCCTTTCTTCCTTCTTTTCCCTTTCAACACATATTTGAGTACTTACTATGTGCCAGACACTGTTTTAAGCACCACACAGCAAAGAAACAATTTTGGTCTTTTTTGATCCAAAGAGTATCCCCATCCTTCCCTTAAAAAACATTTTCCCAGGCCTGCCCTGTGGCCGAGCGGTTAAGTTCATGCACTCCGCTTTGGTGGCCCAGGACTTCATGGGTTTGGATCCTGGGCGCAAACATGGCATCACTCATCAAGCCATGCTGAGGCAGCATCCCACATAGCACAACCAGAAGGACCTACAACTGGAATATACAACTATGTACTGCGGGGCTTTGGGGAGAAGGAGAAAAAGGAAAAACAAAGCAGATTGGCAACAGATGTTAGCTCAGGCATTAATCTTTAAAAAAAAAACAAACCATTTTCCCTTCCCAAGGCCCTCCCCTAACTTTTGTGGGGCCCTGGCAAGTGTAAAATTGGAGGCTCATATACCACGTCTAAATATTTGAAAGTTATAAATCAAGCTGACAAACAAATAAAATATGTTCCATCCTCATGCTTTGACAAATATAGCTGCACAGAGGGCAGGTTTGAATTAAGAATTTGTGGACTCCTGGAGTGCCATGCAGAGTGTGGTGGCTCAGGGAGTGTGGACTCCTGGCCACAGCCTGCTGCCTGTCCCCTTCTCTGGCAGTCCCACATGAGGGGGCTGTGCACGCACCTGTATCTGCACATCCACACTCCATCCCTGCCAACAGCCACCCCATGGTCGCTTCTTGGGCTTAGCTGCCTACTGAAAGTGTGGCCTGCCCTTGAGAGAACTGGCCTGGGGAAGGCTGCAGAAGTGGGCTTGGATCACTCCTGCAGGGAATTCCAGGGTCTCTGGTACCCAACGCATGGTCTGGAAGAGGAAATACAGGCTCCAAGTGGGCACATCTCCATGGGCTCACATCCTTTTCTCCCAGTGGAAAGGGGCACAGCCAGTGGAGGACCAGAAGTGTGGCGCCCAGGAGGCCCCTGTTTCCTGGGCTTAGGCGCAGTACTGCTCCTCCCTGTTCTAGTCTCTCTGCTGAAGCTTACTTTTGCACATGGATTTTTTTTTTTTTTTTTTGAGATTTGGCCCTCTGAAGATTTTTTTAAAAGGAAAATGTGGAATTAAAACACTCCACTTCTTGACCAGAGGGAGGGTCAGTTGAGGTGGACAGATGGTAGATGTTACAGGAAGAGGAAGAGTCAGATTGTGGAGAAAGATCCACTGGCCTGGGAAGACTTCTCCAGTCTACAGAGAGGGAAAGATATGCTCCCAGGTGCTCTCTCTTGAAATCTTCATGGGCTCATCCCAGACTTCTGGAAATGGATGAGATTTCAGCAGTATCAGCTCTTCAGCCTATTCACTTCTCTAGCCATGCCAACCCAGAGTTCTGGATACACTCCTGAAACATGCGCATACTCAATGCTTGCCTTTACTGTGTCAGATTATCCTGGGAGAGTCAGATAGAAGAATATTTGACCCAAACAGCACATGTTCATGCCAGTGGTGTTCCCCTCTCTCCCTTAGGGAAGATAGATGGTTTAATATTTACTAGAACTGGGACTAGACACACACTGACATATTCAGTGGGTGATAATGATCTTTATTAATGCAGTTGGTACTAATTGCATGTCTATTTAATGTTTTTGCTTCCCCTTCAGGTGGTTATTGTCTCCTGGGCACAGGTAACTGCCAGCAGTTAGGGAGTCACTAGTAGATCTAGGATGGCATTAGCTTATTTGATATGCTGACGTCAGGGTAGTGGCTCGCAGGACACTGCGATGGGGAAGATTCTGTAGTCGCACCCAGGCTTGTTGAGCAAGAGTGCTACGTGGGCCAGGAGTACACCTGGCTGATGACTTACCAGGGGGTTGCTCCGGAGGGGACTGCCTAGGATGAAGATCAAATGGGAAACATGGGCAGACCTCAGGGGCATGTGAGTCCTGTGAGGACCTGAACTTTTCCCCCAGGGACCATCTTGGAGAGGAATGGGAAATGGAGAGGAGGAAAACGGCAGGACTGAATTACCTAGGAACTTTAAATTATTGGATTGGATGACATTTAATTTTCTGACTCTACATAGTAAG